AGCCATTGGAGGCTTAAACGGGGAGGTGACATGATCAAAGCTACATTTTTGAAAGATCATTCTGGTGGGAGCTAGAGATAGGAATGGAGGGGTGCCAGACTGGGCATGAATCTGTTTACCATTGTAAAATTTCCCAGGGAAATTTTGAATATTTTGTCCCTAAGGGGACTTTCCAATAGCATCTTTTTGCATCACAGCTTCTCTTGGTTAAGTGCTTGCTGTATAATCTTGGGAAAAGAATATACATACCAGGAAAACATAGTGCTTCTGTCTTGATGGAAAAATGCTGGATCTAGGATGTGACTCCACTGGGTGAGCTGTTGTCTCCCCAGATAAATAGTGGCTCTGTGTGTGTGTGTGTGTGTGTGTGTGTGTGTGTGTGTACGTACATGTGTGCATACAGAGGAAGAGAGGATGCATCCATGTTTCTTTGTTCCTGGCTGGCCCAACCAGTGCCTGGGTGATTGAGGGCCTGGAGCACGTAAACCTCCTCACCCATGTTGAAGGCATCTCTGGTAATGGCATCTGGCCCATATGCAGATCTAGCTCAACTCGGTGCTGACATCAGCCCTTTGTGGCACCTCAGCGTATTTCTGGGTTGCAAATGAGAGTTTCCTAGTGCCAGGCTCACTCGGGCTGTCACATCAGGTGATGAATTCTCTGCATCAACTGTGTGCTGCTAAGGTAAGCTCAGAGGAGGAGCGGGAAGAGGAGGATGGGACTCAGCCTGGCAGCCGCTGCTCTGGGCTGAAAACAGTTACTGGATCCTAAACAGCGAGGGAAAGGCAGATGGCCCCAGTTCCAGCACAAGGAGGGTGGCAGAGAAGAGAAGTCAGGACTTTAGATGCAAGTCTGTGCTCTTCTCTTGTCGGCAGAAACCATGTGAGTTTTCCCATCCACCATTGCTCCATCCTCGGCTCCATAGCCGGTTTCCTCTACCACCTCCCACAGGCATGCTTTGCTTTATCCGTTAGATGGGGTTCTGGCAAAATTTGGTGTATATCACATTATGTGCCAAACTCATTAGTAGGATATAGAGTAAGTAGTCATTTTTGTTCCTGAAACTTGTTGTTCCCAAATACCTTGAATTTGTGTTTTGAAAATCCAGATGTCCTTATCTAGAAAACCTGCTGCAGTTTGTCCTAATTTTATATTCTATTGACTTCCTCTTCCGTGAGGTTCCAGGTTGAGCCTGCTGCTGGCTTAGGCTTCACCTGATGGAATTAAATGTTAAACTGAGTCTTGCTTCCCAGGCCACAGGCACAGAGTTACCCGTAGAAGTGGGTGCAAACTCTGACCCGCTAGGGATGTTTTCAGAGATAAAAAGGGCACGTTTGACTTTGCAGATTTTACCTTGCCATCCGTGTAACTCCTCAGTGCAGTCTCTGACATCGCATTTTGAAGAGTGTGTCTCCATTATAAAGGATAGTTTGCATCGGAGAGTGAAGAGGGAAGTTGGGGTGCCAAAGAAAAATAAAAACAAAAGTCTTATTTCCTGCCACCCCCACACGGTTGTTAATGAAACCATCTTCAACTCTCACGATGCCCAGAGATAAATAAACACACAAAGGCAGAGATTCCTACTTAATATTCACCCGCAGTCGAGGAAGAGGGAACGAATTGCTCTCCAGGGTTAACGTGGCAGTAAGCGAGGTCAGCGGTTTCCCAAGACAGTGCAGCTCTGAACGTCTTCCATTAAAGCTGGAATGATGCAGCTGAAGCAGCCAAAGTGATTTACGGGAAACCCCGTTAAGTTGGGTTTGCTCGCAGTTTCCGATCTGGTGGAGGTTTTAACAGCAACAGCAGCAGACAGTATACCATGATAGAAACCACCTCCAGGGAAGGGAATTCTGCAAAATTTCCCAATGTGAGACAGACTTATTCTGAAAAGTACTTGCATTCATCTAACTTGAAACCCATAGGCTACAGTGTCCTTAATTTGCTAAGAAGTGGCAGGTCATAGCTGGGATATCCTGGGGTAGAGTGACCAGGGACTGGAAGTCCCCTATTCCAGTAAATCCCTGAGTTCTGAGCAAATTGGGATGGTTGGTCACCGAGTGTGAAGTGTGCATGCATATGTGTGTGTGTCTGTGTGTGTTTACGGAGGGATGGGGAATAAAAAAGAGGCAGCTAAAGAGATTTGTTTTATTATTTATTTTTAATAGAAGGTTTTAATATATTCTTCTTCTTCACCAGGCCAACTAACATAATTAAAATGCTGGTTTTGATATCAGCTTGAACTAATTCCTGTCTCTCCCATCTGTGAGTTCTCTGTGCCCTCTGGCATCTTACGCACTGGTCTGAGAAAACAGAACTTTGTAAGGAGAGAGATCAGATGTCTATTGTTTGAGTTATTTCAGCTCAGAAATGACTCAAAAAGAAGTCTCCTGGAACCTTCTGGTCAATATACAATGCCTTGCCAAGTCCCTCCTAATTAAACACCACGGAGCTCATTTTCTTTACAAATGACTTCATTTTTGGCACCACTTATTGTTATTTTAATGGAATGATAGCATGGCTAAATAATAGTAGTAGTGGTGATTTGTGAGCAATATAATGAAACTCCTTTGTGCCATGTGCTATGTCAGGGATGCTAACGGCTTTCAGAGAGCTTCCTCACCTCCTTGTCTCATACCAGGTCGATTCTAAGACATAGCTTTTTTCCTCTTTACCAGCACTTTACTCTCTGCCTCATGACATTGTACTTAACGAACCTCTGTCAAGTTTTCTGAAAATCCCATACTACTCAGCAAACACACACAGACACACACACACATACAAATCTATCTATCTATTTACCTATCTGGTAAACATGTACATGTAAGAAGATTATTAGGACAGACGTATCAAAATGCTAAGAGTAATTATCTCTCAGTAGTAGGATTATGGGTGTTGTACATTTTGTTTGTTATGCTTTTCCTATTTTCCAAACATTATATTGCATATATAATTGCAAATATTATTTGTGCAAGTATTATGTAAGCATATCTTACTTTTATAATCAGGAAAGATAAATGATGTTAAAAGATTTTCTTTGGGGAAAAATAAATATAACCACTGTTCTCAATCAGCTTAAAATGGTACCAGAATACAAGTGTTCTTGGTTGGGAAGGAAGGCTAAGTTATTGTCACCCCTGTGACCAACCTGCTTTAGGAAATTGAATTAATTCTGTTCTTGATTCTGATCATCCTGCAGAGTCTTAGCCCCAAAAGGATAGAAAAGCCTCCTGTTATAAAAGAAAGAATTTTCATTTTCCTCTCATTGTTCTCCTTCGAATCTATCACAAACACCAGGGGAAATGTCCTCCAACAGACAAAAGGAGTGGGAGGAGCTACCTGACTAGGTTAAGAGATGGCCATTTGAACTTGAGAGCAGTTATTCATTGATCCGTGACTGAGGTGATGTGTTCTTGGCATTGCCCAGGATGACCTTGCCCTCTTGGTATCCCGATCTGCTCTTCAGTGAGGTGTGGAAAAAACCTCCCCTCATGCTGATGTAACTGGTGAGAGCTGATTCGAATCAAAACTTTGGCTTTCCTGGGAAAATTGGAGTGTCATTTGGGTGAGCCAATGAAAAAGAAAGCCAAAGGAATGAAAAGAGCAGAGAAAAAGGAACCTGATTCAAAGGTCAGGAAGCCTGTGTTCTGTCTCAGTCGTAATCCAGAAGCCTGCTTTTCTCTTGCTCCTCTGCTTTCTTAGGAATGAAACATGAACGGACATTTGCTAGCACTTCCAAAGTGCCAAGCATGTTCCTAAGTACTGTAGATTATGCGAGAATAGAAGCTGGAGTCCCTCCCACATGGCAATATCAACATCTGCCCCATGGACCCCAAATATTTCAGGGAATAAAATGAGAGAAAACCAGAATAGAAAATAATTTACCAGGAGCGCCTACGACTTGGTCTGTTCAACATGAGCAGTTCCAGAGTTGAGGTCTGTTGACTCCAAAGGAGCACAGTGATTGGAGAAAAAAGGCATTTTAGCACATTTGTATTTCAGAACTTCAAAATATATTAATGATAGTGAATTTTAAACACTGAAGCAAATCATTCTGCGACTATTTTAATGGTGGGATATTTTTTGAAAGGGGTGCTCACTAAAACAAATCCTTTTAGCATAATTTCATTGTTTGGATGCTTCTGGATTTAGAGTCTTAGAAAAATCATCTATAAATGTAGATCAAACTTGTAGCTTCCTGTCTCACCACCTTTTAGATATATTCACACAGTCCAGTCCTTAGGGTCTTGGCACCATTGATTTACCTGTTTTATTTGCCTGAACCACCCTCTGTACTTTTCAAGGCTCACCTCAAAGAGTACCTCCTCCATGAAGCCTTTCCTGATGCCCCAACAAGATGAGATACTGCCTTCATTTGAAACTTCACAACACCTGGGCTATACCATTTATTAGGTTCTGCTTTGAATTATAGTTCATTCATGCACTTGTCTTATCCCACTCCTTGAGGACATGAACTGTATCTCACTCATCATTATATACCCAAGAGCATCTTGTGCAGAGCCATGCGTAGAACATGGAATCCCATAACATATGGAACATCCAGAGCTGGAAGAAAGCATTTGAGCCAACCTTTTTATTTTTCTAAAGGGGAACCCAAGGCCAAAGAGGCATAAGTGCTTTGCTAGAGTCAATAGCTTAGTCATTGCCAGAGTCAGAACTAGAACTCGGGTCTCTTGGCCTGCAGCGCAGCTGTCATTCCACTAGAGTACACACAGTAGTCATCTGATGGCCTGGACTGAGTGAAAAAGCCTTTGAGAAATGGGAGGTGTGACCCTTGTGTCCAGTGGCTCACTGGGAGGACCCAAACTCATCTGAGGGTGGGGGGAATATTATCAACCATAAAATAGCTGCCCGTTTGATGAGTGTCCCCATGTGCCAGGCACTGTACTAGGCCCTTTACACAAGTTGCCTTATTGTCATTGTCTGCTCAAAACAGCCACCCAATCTCAGAGGACTGACTTCTCTCCCTTTTTCCCTTCTAGGCTAATGGAGGTTGGCAGGATGCTACTACCCCTTCATCAGTGACCTCCCCTACAGAAGGCCCTGGCAGTGTTCACTCTGATACCTCCAACTGATCTCCCAGCAATCGCATCCCGGCTGACCCTGTGCCCCAGTCGGGGCAGGGCCAGGAGGGAGGGTTTCTCTCCCAACGCTGAAGCGGTCAGACTGGAGGTCGAAGCAATCAGCAAACACAATAAGAGTCTCCTTCTCTTCTCTTCCTTGGGATGCTATTTCAGCCAATCTGGACACTTCTTTATACTCTCTTCCCTTTTTTTTCTGGGTAGAAGCCACCCTTCCCTGCCTCCAGCTGTCAGCCTGGTGTCCGTCAACTTCCCTGCCCCTGTCCCTCTGTCCTAGACTCCCTGGGTCCCTGCCCTCTATTACATCACTGAAGGATATTTTCAACAATTAGAGGAATCTAAAGAGAAAAAAAAATACAAAGAAAATAATAAAAGTGTTTGTATGTTTTCATGCTGGTGGTTTGAGGAGCCAAATTTACCTCACTCGGATCCCTCGCTCCCTTTGTTAACAGGCAATCCTTCTCTGTTTCTCTTGTTACTCTCACTACCTCTTAGCAGGAATACGCCACATTGCCCTACTCATTCCAGGCCTCCCTGCCTCGTCTTGCTCTTCCCTCCATGGGAACAATCCTGATTAGAACACTTTCCTCCTCTTCCTTCCCAGCCCCAGGTATTCACTGGGGACGGCCATAGCTGGGCTTCTAAAGGTGCCACATTCTCCACTTTCAGCTCCACTAGGTTGATTCCCAGGCAGGAAGTCAGACAGCAGGAGAGAGCACAAGGAACAAGAAGGGCAGAATTCTTCGAGGCTTTCTCATCCTCCTTTAACAGCTCTTGGTTTCAGAGGCACAGTCTTTGGAGACCCTGCAACACTTAGTGAGCAATGTTCAGAAGCTACTGCAAAACCAGGTCCAAGTTAGGCATGGTGATGAACGCATCACTAAGGAGAAGAGGGTTCTTATCCTGAAAGCCTTCACCTACTCCTTCTCTCACACACACACACACACACACACGCACATGCATAGTCTCATACATTCACTTTCGCAAGGTCAGTCACATGCCACGTACAAATACTTACGTTAGTAACCATAGCATTATGCCTTGTGAGCCCAAGAGAGGGAATTAGCAACTCTTAGTGAAGGTCACTGACACAGAGAAACAGTATATGCCTGGGGCCTCCAGGACTTGCAGGTCCCCCAGCATGCACACCCGAGAAAGACATACACAAGACTGGATCATGATGAAGACCAGGTTTGCGGTGTAAACTATTCCTGTTCCCACCACCTCTGGAGCTCTCAGGGAGCCACATACAGAACTTACAATGTCTGTAATGGATTTGGTTCTCTTTTGTTTTTGTTTTTGTATTAGGGACGTTGCATTAATTATCCAAAGCGTTATATGGCACCACATTCTTGTTCTAAAGGAGAGAGTTGTGTAAGAACATGGCTCAAGCGGACTTTTTGCTAGCTTAATTTGAAGACCTGAGAGTGATGGGGAAAGGGGAGATAATGTTTTCAGTGACATCATCACAGTGATTTTCATTCCCTGGAAATATGTAAGAGAGAGGAGTATATAGTAGAAAGCTGTTCTCTAATGTCACCTGAGCTTACATTATTCATAGCCAACTGTCCCAGCAATAAAGATGGCAGCTCTGTCACTTGACTGTGTGGGAGGTGGTCAAATCTCTTGGTGCCCCATTTTCTTTGTAAAATGGGGATTATTATTCCTGGCTCATACGCAATCTGTAAATGTGAAATCAGAGGAAGTAGTGTCCCTGAGATAAACTGGTTCGTGCCATGTGGGGATAATAAATGGTTTTCCTATTCTAACTTCTGGTCACCATCAGTACCGTGATGTTATCACCATGATGACAAAGAGAAGAGGTATTGTTGTTGCTTTTTTTTTCATTTCTTTTGTTCTGTTTGGTTTCTTAGAATAGAGATAAGCTTCCAAACTAGAAACATAGGACTTGGTTCTCTTAGTTTGTATTTGAATCCAATATGTGGCCTTGTAAGTACTTAGTCCCCTGTTATATCTACTCTGTTTGAGAGGTCTCTGGAAGAAGTATAAGACCTTGAGGGGTGAGGATGGCCAGCTAACAAGGTCATGGAAATTCTGCATGGCACTACAGTAATGAATAGAAAATGCTCCTGTGTGTGTCTTGGGTGGGTGGGTGGGATACCTCAGAAATTGGAGGGTATGTGTATTTGAGGGAAATGCAAAAAGTAAATATTTGGCAACATGGGATTATGCCTTCATAACTAAGAGCAGTAGAAAGACTGTGTCTACTAACCTGTGCCATAACCAGAGCAGGGCTCGATATAGAGGATTCCTAGAAGGAGCTATTTTGTGACAACTTGGTAGTGATTAGAGCCAGTGGAGAACTTTGTTTTAGTGGCAGAGATATATTGAAACTACCCACACAGGAATACCGTTGGATCACATCCGCCTGACTTTGGGCAAAGTACAAAAGAGACACAAAAGGGTTCTCTTGGAAACAAGGAAGAATGATTCCAGATTTGGGTTGAATGATTGCCATTTTAAGTTATGAAAAAGATCAGAGCAGTGCTACATTTGCACAGGCAGTTTCTCTCCCTGCAGTAGTTTGCACTGATTATCACCTCTCACAGCATCTTCCCCACCCAGCACTTCACTTAGTCCTCGTTGTATCCAATACCTCTCCCACGATCTCCCCGCCATGCCCACGATCACATCCAATATGGTGGCCACAAGGTCTCTCCACATTAAGCAAAGCATGAAAGAACACTAGCAGCAGAAGGATGAGGATGGAAAGAGCGTGCCTCTGGAAAGACAGCTCCCTGGGAATTTATATTAGGTCAATCCTACAGATACCAAAATGTGCCCCAGGGCTCCATCATTTTCTAATGAACGTGGGAGCACTCCATTTTCCCTGGAAGCAAATTTCCCCTGAGAAATGATACTAGCCCTTGGGTTTACCCATCTTGCAACTTCGTCATATCCTCTTTTTCATCCCTAACTCCTCTTGGTGTGGAATTGACTCCCATGCAGTACTTATGCCAAGTGGCACCTTCTTTACATTTATTTTGTATTTGCTGTGGTGGTGGTTCTTTATTTGCTGGTTGCCTTTTCTCACACATATCTTTTACCCCTCTTTCCTTCTGAGTTTTATTTTTCTGCCCAGAAAAACCTGACTTCGATACCAAAAAAGATAAAACTACAGAAACTCAAATTTAAAAAAAACTTAAAAAAAAACAAAAAAATACTCAACGATTCTTTCAGCTTTATTAACATTTTCCATTGTTTCTTGCGACTTGTGTCTCGTTCTTTGTAGTATTGATGATGAACATTTGATAATGAATGTTCTTGTATATTCAGATAAAGAAAAAAAACCAAAAAAGCGGTCTGAATTTAATAGTGTTTATAATAAAAATTTTAAAAATGACCCTCATAGCACGCAAAACAGGATGGGGAATTTCCCCTCTTTTTTCTGTGACAATGCGCATCATTCCTGCATTAGTTTTTAACACCAAACTACCTACATTCATCATTTCCCCCATTTTTCTTTTATTTTCTTGCATTTGTGAATTAGTTCAAGAATGCTAGAAAAGTGTCGAGTTGTGCACATCCATTTCCTGTTTCACAATGTTTAAAAGTGACAGTAATTCATTTTGTAAACTAAAAAAAAAAGGTTGGAATAGTAAGCATAATAGGTACAACCTAACACGTTATTATGTTTATTAACTTTGAGACCCAGAAATAAATTCTTTTCTTTTCTTTATTCCTGCTCTTTAAAATATAAAAAAAAAAAATTATGTTTTGTTTTGTGTTATTTTTGGTTTGTTTATGGGGGGGCTTTTTTAATTGTCAGGATTATGATCTTGCTGTTTTTACTCCTTAAATATGTATACCAGGTGATGTGAAAAGATGACATTGGTAGAGTAGGCTGCTTCCTTGTCCTTCTACTTTGCTTCAGAATTGTTGACTTCAAGAACAAAGAGAAAGCCCATGTTGCTATCACATTGCTCACTTGCGTTTCCACAGTGTGTGGCATTCCTGCAGTCCCTGAGAAAAACGAAGTCAGAGACTTGGATTCTCCTTTTGGTCCTTTAAAAATTCAAGGAATAGTTCCAGGGGACCTTTTGTATTGTAGGGAAAGGTTTTTGCTTCTGTTGATTGTAGATGTCACCACAAAATGCTTTCTTTTCTTTCTTCTTGCTTAATAACAACATTCCACGAGGCCTCTTTCAACTAGGGAGGATTTTTCTTCCAGAAGAATCCCACAGGAGATACTGGAGTGATGAGTACCATTGGCTACGTAGACTAGAGCCGGGAAGCCATCCCTCTGGCCAGTCAGCCTGCTGATCCTTTGAGTTCTGATTTTGAGTGAAGAGTTTGGTGAGAAATTGAGCCAGATTCAATGCTGTCGTTATAACATTGAGAGGTTACGTTTGATTCATTGACAGCACACCTCTTATGAACCTCTGATTTAGAATTGTCAAACTGGATTGGTTCGGAATGTTTTTATTAGTGATAGGAGAAAAGAAAGCAATACGATCTGGAAGAAACTTGTTTTAAACATCTTTCATTCAGCAAATGATTAAGTGTTCAGAAAGCAGCCAGAACCTAAGCAAGAAAAGTGAGGAAAGAATGCGGAATTGTGAAGCGACCCTTTAGGAAGTGTTTCTACCCAAACACGTGCACTCTTGTTTTTAAGTCATAACAAAATAATGACGAGCTTTTCACATCACCTTTACGGTTTCAATCCCTAGCTCAAAGCTTCCTGGAATCTTTTATTTTTTGTAAACTTTTTTTCCTTTTGTTAAAATTAATAAAACATTCAATGTTTTCCCCCTTTTCTCTCTTATGACTTCTTTTCTTTCCTTTGGCGTTTTCAATTATTTTGAAGTGCTTTCCTTTGGTTGGTTTTATTCTTACGCTCTCTCTCCCCTCTTCTTATTATTCAGAGTATAAACCTGCAAAGTTCTGCTCTGTTTTGGTTTTGAAAGTTTAAGCTTTTCTGCTTCTGTGAGAGCACAGGCTTCTGTCCCTTTTGATTCCAACTGAACTTTTGTGTTCTCTAATGATACTAACACGGTGTAGGTTTTACAGTCTCCTAATTTGTACTGGTAATGCATATTCCAAATAAATAGTTTCTTTTGTTGCAAAAAAATACATTTGTATTTTGTGTAAATTTCTTCTTACATACTGGCAACTTGTCTTCCCCCGAACTAGGGCTGGCTTAGTGTGGATTATGGTTTAAACTGTTACCCTAATCGTTTTAAAGTCTACATCAGTGGCAGTGAAGCAAATGACCTCATGGGCCACCTACCTCACCTACAAAATAAGGAGGAAGGAAGGAAGGGAGGGAAGGAAGAGATAGGAAGGATCTTATTAACACAGCTAATATTTGCCTATGAATATTATGGCAGAGCACCCATCTTGTCTGCTTGTCTGTGACTGACTGCCATCCACCAAGCACCAGTTAGAAAAGACACCAGAGAAATTTTCTATAATAAATTCTAAGTTTCTTAGTCACAGCTGGGCCCAGTGGTTCTCCTTTCCTTCTCTTAATCTGCTGTGATCTGATCATAAGAAAAATTGTGGTACCCAAGAGATGTTTCAGGGGCCAAAATCTAGGTTAGAAATACTATTCAGCTGTGGGCTCTCAGAATTGTGCTAGATGTCACTCCACAGATTTTCACACCTTCCATGTGTTATATCTACCATCTCATGTAAGCATCTCTCCCAGTGGTTTGTCTGCACTCAGATGGAGCCCCTGACCTTTGGGGTTATGGTCTTTTACAGAGTTTAGTGTCTCAAAGTGTCCTGGCTGGAACACCACTTCAGCTCCCAATGCCTAAGTGTGTGTCCCAGCCTTCAACATCACCTTCCCATCCAGGAAGTGGGATGGAGCTTCTTGCCTGGCATTTGACATATTGTCCACCTAGGGGCATCACATGCATTGTTTCCTCGTCTTCACACTGTCACTCTGAGGAGGCTCTGTCCAGAGCCCCGAGGAGGCAGGTATGTATTGAATGTACCAATCACTCACCCTTTCATCCCGATCATGGTTCTAATCAATAGAAAACATCAAAGTAATGGAGAGTCAATGGGGATCAAATTATCATTTTTACTAAGAGACAAGCTAAGGGCTCAATGGCCTCAAAAATATAAGGCTATCTGCTAATGTTGACTGGGAGAACATCACCAGGGGCCAAATGGAGGCCTTGTGTTCCCTCTTCAAATCTAAACATTGGAACACACTTAGGTTTGCATATGCAAGGCAATCTCAGATCACTTCCTTTTCCAGTTGTATGGAGAATTGTGGACCTAACTCACCCACCTAGTTTACTACTTAGAGTGGTATTAAATGGTACTAAATAGACCAAAAATGTATAAAGACTGAAATGCAGTACAAATTTGTTTCTCACTTATGTAATAGCCTAAGGCAAATGTTCCTGGTCAGCATGCCTCTTCCCTATGGAGTGATTTGCACATTGTGGTTCCTCCCCCCTCCACATCTAGCTGGCAGAAGGCAGAGTAGGAAGAAGGCTCACCAGTTTTTGAAAGCCTTGACCAAGACCTCTCTCTTCCATTCATGTTCCTAAATGCAAGGATTGGGAGGTGGGAGTGGGAGGATGGAAAAATGGCCCCTAGCTAATGCCACGCAATAACTTTTCAGATGGTTGGCCATCTGTGTCACAGCTAGCGACCAAAAGGATAACTGAGAGCAAAAGATAAGCCCACAAGGCTTTTCACTGCACTGGACAGACTCCCAGTAAAAACATTTCCAGTCAACATCCCAGCCTTGGCTTTGTTACCCTTCAGTGGGGAAGATGGAGAGAGAGATGACAACAGAGGTCAGAGCTGTTTAACCCAATACTGCCCCCTCAAGGAAGAGGAAACGGAAGTCTCCTCCTCTGTGGGAATGTGAGAGTGGGAAGGAAACACCTCCCTTCCCCAACATTCTCTAAATTTGGTTCTTGTCTAAACTCAGGCCTCAGCACCAGCCTGTGGTCATCAGGAAGGGAGAGCTGTAGTCTATTAAGGCAGCCTTGGTCCCACCTTCAGGAGGTCACTCCCACATGTTTATTGCTGGCTAGGAGGGTCAAGCCTGGTGGCCACCAGTCACTTTGGAGAGTATAGGTCTAAAGTCTAAAGCTTTAAAACCATAAAATCTGTTACACTCACCCCTAGCCCTGCCCCGTTGGTTTCTACATGCTTATCCTGATAGACTTGCATCCTTCCACCACTTATAAAAAAAGACAGGCAGCCAAATACCAATGTTCTGACCACAGTTTGTTATACAGAAGATAGCCTCCCTTCTGGAAACATCCAGCATAGAGGGTGCTTCTGAAGCTCAGTCTTATGAAATGATTCCATGGGCCAAGGAGGGTATTTTAACCTGGATCTCTAAATCAGAGGCTTGGAACACGGAATGAAGCTCTGCTTCAGGGGCTTCACTCCCATGACTTCCATAAAAGCTATGACAGTGTACAAATAAAGAGAGCAGTGGGTTTACTGACCATAAAAGCTAAGACAATGTACAAATAAAGAGAGCCAGTGAGATGCAGTCTATGGCTTCTAGCCTTGGACAGACTTCCAAGGTCACTCTGGGTAGTGTGGGGTTGGGGGAAGAGGAGTTGTAAAGGCTCATGGCAGTGGCCACCCCCAGGGCCACAGGCTTTGAAGAGACATGGTCCTTGTGTATTCTCCTGGGACCCATGCAAAAGACAGCATAGCTCATGCTCCTAGATGTCCTTGGATAGATCAGACGGGTCCATTCATTAACACCCAGGTTACACTGTGCCCTAAGCCAACATTCACTCTCTCCCACAATATCCAGCCACACTGTCCAGTGTAGCTCACCAGAGTTGTCAACAACACCTCTTGATCGTATAAAAGGCCAAAATGCTACAGTACATTTGAATGCAAATCTCTTGTTAATATGTACTCAGAGAGAAAGTAAAGATCAGGGTAAAATCCTCCTCCTCTTATGTATTAAAATTTAGAGGAATGCTAGTCGGTAACTCTACCTTCCCCGGTTTCCTCCTGTGTTCATTCTCAGCCAGAACACTCTCACTCTGTTGCCAGAAGTAGAGTCAAGGCAGTGGAGGCCTCTTCTGTTGGAATGAGAGTAGCTGTTCCGGTCCCTCCAAAGTTCAATTAATCCAACCTTGAATCTCTCTAGTACCTATTTTTTCTAAAAGGTCACTTTCGGAGGCATATGAACCATACCCCAACATCAATTTTACCCACAGGATTTAGAAAACACAAGCAAAGCCTAGGCTTCTAGAGCAAAACTGGGCTCCCAGAAGCCAGATCATAGTACCACATGACTCTTGCTAATGAATGACCAGAGCAGAGAGTTGATAGTTCAGGGAGGAAGCAGAAAAGACAGACAACAAGTGAAAAAGTGAAAAGAAAATCTTTATTTCAGTCTTTCCAATCCCAGTTGATTAGTATTAACTGTAGTGTTGAGAAAAAGCCCCAACAAAGGTTAATTTTGCATTCTGCTTCCTCTGCGGGAAACCATCTTCCTGTGCCTCCCTGTGGGAAACAAGGCAATCTATGCATTCTGCGTCCTCTCTTAGAGAACGACCTTTGAAATTTTCATGTCTTTGTGAAAAATTCAAAGATGTAAAATGGGTCCCCTCCTGTCCACAGGCTCCCCTGGGGCTCCCTTCTTCCCCCTGGTATTCATATTTATATTTAAGATGTATCTCGATTTCCAGTTCCCTTTAAGTCCTGTGTTCCTAATCCCAGATACGTTTACACCTGTACTACTGCGACTCTGCTCTTTCTTCTCTGGAATTCCTCCCGCTCTTGACCCGCTTTGAGCTTTCCCTTTGTCTCAACGGGAGACAATGTCCAATTGTTGAATCCAGGCTGAGGTTGATGCTGCAGAACACTGGCCTTCTCCCCCATCCCGTCTCCTCACAAATCCTCGCCTTTCCTCTACAGCTGGTGCTGCTTCAGCATCAGCAGAAACATTCCTTGCTGCAGTCTCTTTGTGACATGCCCTAACATTTCACCTCCTTTTAAGGAGAGCCAGCCAAGTTTAAAATTGTCTAACCTACCTTTTCTCCAGTTACATCCCTTCTCTGTCCTTTAGAGAGCTCAGTCTCTTTGCTATTGGGTCTAAACATTTGTTTTCTTAACAGACTTTTCTAAATTCTGTTTCAAAAATTTTTGCAAAAATTCTGGATCTGTCCAAGGCTTCCGTTGTTCAGATAAATCCTACTCAGCTTTAATTCCTTGAGTTGAGTTATGCTACACAGGAGGTGTCTTCCCATCACCCACACGCGTTCATTGTGTTCCTAACAGCCTCCCTGTGATGTTCCACTCTCCCTTAGAACGCCATCTCCTGGGCCTCACCTTCAGAGCACATGCCATGTCTGTGTCCCTGTACACAACTGCTATGCTAGAATTCACTAATAATTCTTGAAGTATTCTACCATGATCTTCTTGATTTTCCCCTTCACGTGTCCACATTTTTTTTAATCATCTAGTGAGACCTTTAAAGTCATCCAGGGGAACATCTCCAAATGCTTCCATTACCAGCTCCCCATCTGCTGCTTTCAGAAGGTTGTTCCTGGATCCTTTGCTGTGAGCAACACATATAGTTTGCTCACTGAGATCTTAAGAGTCAGACGACATAGACTTGAATGCCAGCTCTACTAGTGTCAGGTTCTTTCTGACATTAAATGAGAGGTTTTTCCTCACAGCAACCAGTTCTCCAACATTCCAACACCAACTAGGTGTCCTACAATTCGTTGGCTCAGTTCTGACACTAACTACCCAGAGTTAGTGTTAGACTCCACAAGTTGCAGGGCTCAGTCCCACAAGACTGCCCTCACTTCAGATGCCAGTTGCAAGTGTCAGGTCACCTGTGCTTCTGACCTACCAGTTCTAAATCGGGAGTTCCCACAACCCCCATCTCAGGTTTGATAACTCACTTGAGTGACTCACAGAACTCAGGAAGCCTTGCTGAGCCTCACTTTGCTTATGTTTACGGATTTATTATAAAGGATACACGGGCATGATTGATTAAATCATTGGCCATTGGTGATTAACTCAATCTTGCCCCTCTCCCATCCCTGGAGGTGGAGGGGTGGGGCTGAAAATTTCAAGTTTCTAATCAAGGCTTGATCTTTCTCAGGACCAGCC